CTGCGACGGCGTACGTCCAGGCTGGCGAGGTCATGTTCCGTCTCTCGTCCGTGACTCGATAGGGGTAATTAGACGGGACTGATAATAATGACTGCATGGGCCCGCTTTTTGCACAGCAAGCGGCGGCGTTCTCCAGCCATCTGTCTGGCAGTGGCGGGGTGATACCGTCACTGCGAGCCCCATCCTGCGGCGCCGCCCGTGAGACTTCTATCTCTCGAGAGCCGCCGGCCGGCTGTCGGGATGTGGCCGGCTGGAGAAGGGTGCGACGACGCCCAGGGCTGCACACCCGCATCGCCGGTCACGGGTTCACGCCCCCCGCCCCGGCGCCCGTCCCGATTGGTTTCCGCGTCCGCGTCGGCCTGATGGGTCGTCGCCGGTGCCGGCCGGTCGCTATCAATAGCCGCCCGCGCCCCCGCCCCGCGAAATCGCCCGTTGTTGCGCCAGTGACGCGGGCGCCGGAGCCGGAAGGCGGCGGCGACGGACGACCGGGCCGTGACCTGCCGCTCGACGGCGCCTGCCGTCTGCCGGCGTCGAGGCTGAGCCGCGGGAGCTGGCCCGTCGCGTCCTCGGCCGCGCCGGCCCGCGCCGACAACCGCTCCCGCCCGCCCGACACGGGTCTCCTGGCCCGCGCCGAGATTATCTTGTCGCGCGCCGACACTGTGTCTCCTGGCCCGCGCCGACGCTGTCTCTGCCCCGCCGACACGATGTCTCCTTCTCCTGGCCCGCGCCGACATCTGCTGTCGCGCGCCGTACCGCGCCGACATGTCTCCTGCCCGCGCTGACACGGTGTCTCCTGCCCGCGCCGAGCTGTCTGTGTCGCGCGCCGACTGTGTCGGGTCATTGCGCCCCGGTCGCCGCACCGGCGTCGGCGCGTTGTTTTTGGCGTCGGCGGCACATGCCGTCACCGCCCGGTCGGTCGGCCGGCGCTGCGCGGCAGCCGGGCGTGCCGGCCCGGGAGCGGAGCCCAGCGCCGGTCGGCCGTAGCCAGCGCCCGAGCCAGGTCAGGCACGTCCTCGGCGTAGCTGTTCACACCGTCTCGCAGCCGGTGCTCGGTGGGCTGCCCCGGCGCTCGCTGGGTTGGCCCGGCGCTCGGTGAGCTGGCCTGTCGCTCGGTGAGCTGACCCGGCGCTCGGTGAGCTGGCCCGGCGCTCTGTGAGCTGACATGGCGCTCCATGAGCTGGCCCGGCGCTCGTTGAGCTGGCTCGGCGCTCGGTGAGCTAACCCGGGCGCTTGATGAGCTGGCCCGGCGCTCGGTGAGCTGGCCTGGCGCTCGATGAGCTGACCCGGGGCTCGGCGGACGGCTGGCGGACGAGCTCCGCCCGGATAGTGGCGGGAGGACGCGGGTCTGGCGCTCCGGCGCAGCCGCTCCGCTCACGCCCCGGACCCAGCGAAGGCAGCGGTGCTGGGCGACCGGAGGCTCTGCCGCTGATTGTGGCCCCTGCCGGGCTGTTGTTGTGGTAAATGTTCGGAAGCTGAGAGAGGGATGGGTGGCGTATTGCCCCTTCTCTGAGAATCACCGCTGATGACTGAGCGTATGATCGCATCTGTTACGTTCCTGTTCGTGTCGTGGCTCTCCGCCTCATTGCAAACTATCGCTTGCAGGTGGTGTAAACGTTCCTTTCGTCTTAATCGCCGAAGTGATTGCATTCGTGTTCCTTTCTCCGCTGACCATACACTAATGAATCAGGCTTTATATCCCCGGTTTTTTGCAACGCCGCATCTGCGAAGGCAGTCCACTCCTTCGGAATGTGAAGGGAGCGAGCCATACAGCCGGGTGGTCAGCAGTAGGTCCCCGGCCTCCGCGCGGAGTCACCGGCGGCCAAGCCGGCCGCCGGGCTCGTTTGTCTCCCGCCGAAAGTTATGGGACACTGGCTGTGTCTCCACAAGTTTGTGGCGAGGAATTTATGCCCGTGCCGCGGCTCTCTCGCGGAGAACGCCGAAGTTTCGCTGCGAGCGCCCTGGACGACCGTCGGCCGCCACGCGGAATAAAGCAGCCGCGTTTTCCCGGCCGGCGGTTTCCGGCAGCACGGTAACTTAGCGGAGATGGGCCTCGTGTTCGCAGGTCAGCTTCCGTTTAACAGCTTTGGGTGAGTGGCTGACCGGCGCCGAGTCAGCCGCGATCGCCGCGAGGTGTCGGTGACGCCCTGCGGTCAAACCGTCGCCGGCGGTGCATCGACCCCACATTGACCGGCCCGCCGCCGCCACGTCGGTGCTATTGACCAGAAGCGTTTATTGACCGGACCCGCTGCCCTGCCCCGCCCGCCGCGTCGACACCGGGCCGCCGTAAGAGTGCGGACTCGGGTGGGGGTCTGGGGGGTCAGGCTGGCGGGCGCCCTCGCCGCCCCTGACGCGTGCCCACCGGCGGCCGCCGCCGTGTTTGCCGGGCTGGTAACGGTACCGGAACGCTCGCGCCGGCGTCGGCCGCCGCCGCGCTGGTGACGCGCGGCCTTGGGCGCGCCCCGGCCGTCTGGCCTGCGGCGGCGCGCCCCGTACGGCGGCGTCAGGTGTTTGCACCGCGGTTAGTGGGCGAGCACCAGACGCGGGCCGCCTCCGGCGTTCCCGGGCCAGTGTTTGGCCGGCCGCGTGTCCGTCGTCTGGCGTCTGTTTTCGGGAGCGCCGCTGCGATTGTGTCGCCCGACGGGTTGGGCCAGTTTAAATTGTCGGCCGTCGACGGGGGCGTGTGTGTGTGTGTGTTGGCGCCGCGGCGGCGGTTACTGCAGCGGCGGTGACACGGGCTCCAGCCGGGCGTCGACGGCACGCGGCGCTTTACGGCCGCTGTCGAGGCTTGGCTGCAGCCTGCCGCGCTACATCAGCGGCGACGGCCGCCGCTCGGAGCTGTCTACGGTGCGAGCCGCTGAAGCCGCTGGGCCGTGCCGAGCCGGGCGGCGTGGTTACTGGGCTCCCTGGCAGACGACGGCGAGGGACGTGGTCGCGCTGAGTTGAGATTTGACGACCCGTAGAGTTATGCGGGGGCAGCACGGCCCGTCTGGAGGTCGCTCTAGCCTTGGTCACGTGGCTGCGGTCAGACGCGGCTGTCCCTCGTGCTGCGGAGGGGGCCAGCCAGGACCGACGTTCTGACTGGCGGCACCCACTGCCGCTGCGGAGCCTTCCGAGCCCAGTGTGTGCTGAGCAGCGGTCGCGACCGGCGCCAGCTGAAGAGCCGAGGCCGCCGACGGGCCATGTTACGTTCGCATTGCGGCGCCACGGCCGCCGCGCTGGGCCGCCGCCAGCCGCGAGCCCGGGACGTGTGGCGATGAACCAGAACGGGCCGGGGCGACGCTGCGCTTTCGGTGGGGCTGGGGCGGCGACGCCCTGTCGATCGTCCCCGCTTGAGTGCGATGGTCAGTTGGGTCTGCAGCCTCTGGTGTCTAGTCGTTGAGTGAGGCAGGGATCCGCGAGAATCACGGTGTCTTGTGCGGCTGTGGTGGGGTTGTCTGATTGTTTTTGCTTGGGTCGTGACGCAGGAGGTTCGAGCGTCAGGTTTTTCGTCGCCTTTGTCATTTTGTTATCTCTGGGTTGTCCTGTTCCGTGCTGGGGTCAGTAAACCAAAATAATGTGAGGCAGATGCACCTGCTGATAAGGTAATGCTTCGTGCTGCCGCCCTCGTCACGTGCATTGTTATTTTCGTCGCGTTTTGACCGGTTGCCTTCCGGCCGTT